ATTCTTTACCAGCTAATGTAATAACTAATTTCATTTTTTCATGTATTACATTCCTAGGTTTTTTTGCTATATTGTAACACAGTCCTAATCTTAGTCTCATTGTCTTTATCTAAGCAATGGCTCAGAGTTGATGCAGTAAACCTTAGAATAGGTGTCATGTCCCAAAGGCATGTCTCTGGGCTCTGGGAGAACTGCTGTCAGCATTCAGATTCCCTTGGTTGTTGAACGAGATTCTGATATAAAACACACTTTTCCTTATGTGCACACCAGATCAGAAGAATCAAAATCTCACTATGAAAACATGAGGTCCTATATCTATAAATCCCAAATATGTCATGACACGTACCACATGAGGTGACAAAAGTGAATGAGATGGTTAAGGGAGAATGACCTGAAAGAAAAACACAGAATTGTGAGGATGGCTGGAAAAGATAGGCCTGGAGACAGAGGAACAGGAGGAGATGGTAGAGGTGAGGAAGGAATTGAGATTCTCTGTGTGCAGTGTGGAAAGGAGGAGCAAGGAGGGGGAAAGGTGCTCTTGGTTTTGCCCAGAAGTCTGACCAAAGGGGTCTAAAGAAGATTCTTGGAATTTAGGGAGCTTTGAGAGAATGGTTTCAGTAAGCAACAGGGACGGAAAAGACATTGCCAAGGTTTAAGGTGCTCACCAGACAATGGAAGTAGTCATCACTGCTTACTTTCCCTAGAAGTTTGGCAGTTTATATTGAGAGTCAGGAAGGATTTCAGAGTGGTTCTGCCCTTAGCTCTTTGTCCAAGTTTGAGCCACTTAAATTTTTAAGTCCCTCTCTTTAACTGCAAAATGAGGAGTTTCAAGCTAGATGCTACCCAACGTCCTTCCTGAATCTAAAATGTGCTCTTTCCATCTTTCAAATCCCCAAATGGCAGTGAAAGCTCAATTCTAAGGAATCTGAGAAGCTGTCATTACATCATTCCCTCTTTAAGTAACAAATTACCTTTGAAAGGAATTCTAGAAGAGAGATGGGGAGGGTAGAAAGGGGAAGAGAGAAAATTAAGTTGAATATTTTTCCATACTTAAAAAATCCTAAGGCATTTTGCTGTTTTCAGAAAATTCCTTTTAAAACACCCCTTGTCAATTTCTTGTTCAAAGCTGTCTTACTCTAATCACTTCCTCTTTGGTGGGATGAGTGAGCCTCTATTTTTAATCATACTATTCCTTTCTGCAACATTTTAAAATTTAATCCCAGTTTCCATCATCATACTGGGTGTCCATAAAGTTCATGTGCAATTTAAAATAATCATCTATATTTACCATTAATTCTTCTCTACATACATATTTAAACATCCCATACTTTTCCCATATCCTCAATACCTTTTGAAAGGCAATCTTGTTTCTAATTTAAAGCCTCAGCTGACACACACCAGGAAAGAACAAAACTCCTAAGAACTGCACAGTAGGACTCTTATAATTACCACTACCCTATCTGCTGAACACTATTATATGACAGGCAGTGAGATACATCTCTCCTCCTGGAACACTAAACTTCGCACTTCAGAAACACCCTCTATCCCTCAACTTCTCTGCAAATGTGATGTTAAGGGGGCTTCTTGGAGGATGGGAACTATACTTTGTCATTTTACCTGTCATTTTATCTATGCCTCTAAATCCACTCCCATGGGTCTGATTTCTGATTTTGTTAGATTACTACATTAAAAAGCCATGTGGTTAATACATATTAAACTGTAGGTGTCCTAACCTCCCTCTCCAAACAAATCATTGCACTTAAGCCCTACTAAGTCTTCTTTGGGAACTCTGGCGTCACGGTTCCTCTGTGCCTTTGCCTGTCCACTCTTTTCTTTCTCATCAAGGAATCACTTTTCTCCTTCTCCTTGTAAATGGTAGCCATCCTTGAAGATCAAGTGCAAACGGTCTCTGCACAGTGAAGACTTCCAAGGCTCCCAAGGGCACAATGAATCATCACCCATTCCTCTTTGGTCTCTTCACTGTGATAATCCTTTTGCACTATGCCTTTTAGTTAACTCATCCAGCCCTCACTAGCCTGTGAGCTCTTTAGGGGATGACCCTGTGCTTCAGCCTCTCTTCATTTCTGGTACTGACAGAAATGCTTATGCTCAAGAAATGCTTCTGACATGATTGAAAAAAGTATAGAAGCCATGGATATACAGAAAAATTTTAGTTATAGAAGTAACTAACTACTTATAGAAGTTAACTATTTTAGTAACGGAAGCTGGCAAACTCCTGGTCAGCTACAAGCATAATTCCAGCTCTGATCCACAAGAATTAAGAGAAGCTCAGGATTGCAGATTGTGACAAGCCTTTATACCCGCATCTGTGATGAGAGTCAGAGGCAGAGCTTGGCTAGTAAGGACACAAGTGGAGAAACATGCCCCAACTGTGTCTTCCTGTACCATTTATCCCTTTATCTCCTCATTTCTGCTCAATCAATAGGAGTAGAAACAAGATGTCCATGAATAGATTGTGCTAAAGCAATCCTGAAACACACAGTGAGGAAATACTAACAGGGTTGTAGCTCACTTTGTCTTACACCTCCCAGATTTTGGCCACAAAATGGCCATTTGTGAACTTTGAGTGGGCACAAGTAACAGAGCTGCAGGCATTTATGAGAGTCTTGGGAACAGAATGGTGGTATGAGCAATTTATTTTAAAACCAGAGAATGGATGTGACCATTTAATGGCTAAATCTGAAGGTGGATTCCCAGGTTTTCCTATGGAGTCAATGGGAAAAAAATAGAAAACTTGAACAAAGTATAAGAGGTACATGGAATCTTAACAAGTTCAAGCATCGAGACTATTATGAACCAGAACTCCCCTCAAAGCCTCTAAGCGACCTTGCAAAATGCTCACTTGCTGGACTTCTGGTATCAATGGTAAAGATTCTGTTTTAGAACTATGGACCCAGTTTGATTTCAAACGAGAAGGACAAGTAGTGTCCAATAGGATGAATTTTCTCGGTTTCTGAGAGGGTTCCAGGGCATTAAACCTTTGAAAGGTAATCCAGGCCATTAAATTCCAGACCCAGGGGTTATGTTAGGATATCTTGGCATCTACTAAACAAAACCAATATTGGACCTACATGCCAGGACTCTATCCCATCACTCCATGTCTACCTCAATCATAAAGGGATTTCTGCCCCCACCCCCAACATGCATAAACACAAACAAAAATCTATGAGAAAATTGTTCTTTTGTAGATGGCTATATACATAGTTTTGACCACAAGAAAAAGGTAAAAGTTATGGTAGACAAGCTTCATGCACACTACCCCCTACATGCAACAATTAGAAGCCACACCGTACCACTGCAGTTCAGCCATTCATCTATTGATCATGAGATCTTAATAAACAAGAAGATAATTTATAAGACATCACATATCTTTTGGTCATAACAGCAATAAACAGCATCTGTACACTACAACCCAAATATGTATATGGTTGCTAAGAAAAGCAGGAACATTCTTACTGATGAAATTGGTTTTAAATGTGAATGTCTGTGCCTATCTAATCCAAAAAGTTGATGTACATTTACATGTCTCTCTCTTTCTCCTCTTACAAATTAATCTGAAAATGTATGCTTCTGAAGTATAGTGGGAATCCAGGCCCTCCTAGAGACCAGGAGAAGTTTGACGTTTTAATTCTCTATCCACTTTCTAATCTTGAGTTCCCTGGTTTGCAAGTAACCTCTCACTGTCCGCCTTGGCTTTTTTTCTACTGCCTATCTACCTCAAGAAAAGGGGCAGAATGGTTAACAATGTTTGTTAGTTTCTATTTTATAATTAGTATTCCTCATTCAACAGCAGCAGTTCCTTTCAGACAGTAACTAACAATAATATGTGATGGTAATATTCCTGACAAATAATGCTGATTTTTCCGAGGCTGTCAAATAAAGCCAAAATCTAAGAGTTATTTCATGTTAACAGAGCTGGGTATGATCTTGGATGCTATTTGGAAACGGTTTTGCGTTGTTGTGTATTTAGTCTAAATCTCCAGCAATTACATGGTATTTCATTTCGTTTCTGTAATGCTAACTGTATTTTAAAATATTTAATTACAACTGATGAAATCTCTCTTGCCTTATGGAAACAGACCCAAGACAAACCTATAGAGTTTGTGGACTGAAAAAGTTAGCAGTTGTTAATTTTTAAAACAACTACTATTTATTCTCAGAAAATGTGCTGATTTCCAAGTGCCCATAAACGACAGTTTCCCAACAGATCTAGTCTCCATTCTTCTTAACCAGACAGCACACATTTTAAGGATATCAAATAGCTCCCTCTCAATTCCCTATGTTTTACTGATTCCTGACTAATTGTTCTTAGTGGAATTTGGGCATATTTCCACGATCTTTCATATCCCCAAGCGGAGATTTTTTTTTCTTCTTCTAGGTCAAACTAGTACTCAGTATCATAGATTTCAGAAATTACCCCTCCACGGAAAAGGGCAAAACTAGATAAGCCTAGGAATTACTCCTCCTGCCACCCAAACACACACACACACACACACGCACGCACGCACACGCACATGCAACAACACAGTCTGAAATAACGTTCCTGAATTCTTCATAGAACAACCAAATGGCAGACACGTTTCAAAACATATGTCATCCAATCCTTACAAACAGCTTAGCAATAGATCCTTTGAGTTCGTAAAGTATCAACATTGGTTGAAGGGATAAGGTGACGCTTTGAAACTGCCTGCAGCACAAACAGGAAACCAGAACACCATCTCTTTCTCCAGCTCCCATGACCGCTCCACAGTGGAGCCAACAAGTCCTGCAAGACACACACGCGGCACACGCGGTGGCCACTAGGGACGTCCCATTTCCAGGCACCATTTAACAAGCTGAAGTGGAACAGCCACACCATAGAAACCCCTCGGCGCGAGTGCCTGGCTCTGTAAATGTGATAGAATTAAAGACGTCCCCGTGGAACTGCCCAGGGCGCCCAGCCTTGGACCAAGAGGACGTGAACCGCCGCCGGTCCCTACCTCAGACTTCCACACCACATATGGTTGGCCGCGGCTGTTGGGTGGGGGCTGGAACTTCCTCTGCTGGAGCCACCTCCTGGGAGAAGTGAAGATGCCATTGGGGCCTCCTCCTGAGGAGCAAAGGATGCTCGCCGCGCTGCGGCCACTGCCCGGTCCGGCTAGGACAGACGGCAGGTCCCAGGCCATGCTCTTCTTGAGGCCGCCGCGACCCAGGGGGACCTCATAGTCAAAGTGGAAGCTACCAGACGGTGACTTTTCCTGCGGGGTACTGGGTGTCGAGAAGGACGAGCACAGGGGTCTGGGCTGCGGGGACCGGGCGGCCCGGAGGGTCGGGCCCCGAGGCGAGGACGCAGAGCGGAAGCCGAGACCCTCGGCTAACGGCACTGGGGAGTAGAGGCGGCCCGTCGTGGCCCCTCGAGCGCCGCCCTCTGCGCCCGCCTCGCCCCCACAGCCGCCGATCAGGGCCGGGTCCAGGCTGCGGGTCTGGCGCAGCTTCCTCTTGGAGAAGCCCTTGGCCGAGGCCGAGCCTCCTGAGGCGGGCGAGGAGCAAGAGAAGACGCTGTGGAGCAGGCTCTGCGCCGACATCTCGGCGGGGCTGTGCCCGAGGGCCACCTTCTTCTCCCTCCCGGAACGCCGGCGGCTTTGGGCTGGAAAGGGGCTTGGGCAAAGCTACCAGGCGGGGCCGACCCGGGGTTTGCCGAGGGAGGTAGAGAGCAATGCCCGGCTCACGCGCCGCCCGCGCGCTCCAAGTACCCGGGTGGACGCAGGAGCAGGAGATCCATCCCCAGCCTTCTAGGAAAAGGAGTCTGGGGATCTCCTGCAGCCGCTAGAACCTTCGCCCAGATCCCAAGTCTCTCTCAGAGGGTGAGGAAGAGGAGGAGGAAGGTCAGGCGCTCGCTTGGTTCCCAGCTCCAGCCCGCCAGCGCCACTCCCCCTTCCCAGCTGAGGCGGGAGACTCCGCACTCCTTGCTCTCTGGCTCTGGACAGCCTCGAAGCCTCCAGCAAGCTCCTCCTCGCGGCCTGAGGACGGTCTCGAGGGCTGGGGAGGAGGCTGCCTGGGCGTGCGCCCAGGGCGCGTCCACCACGCTCCCCGCGCCGCCAGAGAAACTTCCTCCCGCGCCCGAGTGGGCGCCTGAGCTGTGCCCTCAGTGCACCCTCGCTGTGCCGGGCGCCTGAGGCTGCACGTCTGGCCTCCGCTGGGCCGCAGCGCCCACTCTTCCGACTGGCGAGGCTCAAGGGTGTCTCTGAGCTCAAGGTTCCCGCGGGGCTTCTGGGACACCTAGCGCGCTGCGCCCGAGGCCTTCCAAGGCTGAGAAACTATGGTGTGAGAGGAATTCCCGGCTGCGCTCAGTGCGATTTGTGAAGGAGAGAGCTCAGGAGAGAGCCCCCGGGCGGCTGCCCATGTTCTGTGGGAGATGATGTCCCCGCACTGTCGCGCTGGAGGCAGCGGGAAAGGGGGTGTCCGGTTCGAGTAGGGTCGGAGGAACGCCAGGGCGGCGGGAGCCGGGGCTGAGCCAGGAGCAGGAGAAAACAGAACGTGAAGAGTTTCCCAGGCGCCAAACCTGCGAGCAGCTCCGGGAGCGGGCAGCTGGCACTGATAGCGGGTCTCCAGGGGAGAAAGTCGTGAGGACGGAAGTGCGGACCTTCGCGCCTGTCTCCCCTCCCCCAGATCCAGGGGCGCGCCAGCTCCACTCACGTTTCTGGAAAGGGAAGGAAGTGTCAGATTGCACCCCACCCACTGGTGTCAGATGGGCAGCCCAGGACGGTTGCTCTGTAGTTGCAGTTAAATCTCCAGCCTTTCCTTTTTCCCTCCTGCTGTTTTTGTTTTAAGAAAAGAAGGGCAGATTTAGTTCAGAGGCAGCCGCTGCGGGCTGCTGAGGTAAAGGCAGGAAAGCAACTCTGAGGGAAAAAAAAAAGGAAGGAAGAAAGAAAAGGCAGGAGATAGGGACCTACAAAGAAAAGTCGAAGGGGAGGGGTCTTCCCTGATTAAGGATCATAAGCACGTGGGTTAAAGTGCTCCAGGAGGAGGGGTGAGTGCGGCGGAACGACTGCCTCCCGGCTGCCGAGAGTGGCGTTCGTGACGCGATCCGCCTCAGCATTTCGCTCCAAGACACCTCTGGGCGCGTCGCGCAGTGACCACAGTCCTAGGAAGCTGGAAACGCTGGTGAAGTCATTACTCCCGGTTTAGAGCTGAGTCCGGGAGTAACTTCTCCCCGGCTGTCGGACCCTGGAATCTGTAAAGCGCAAAGCAAAGGCTCGCCTGCCTCCTGGAGGGCTTTTCCGCTTAACACTGAAGTTATGCCCCGCGTCTTACAACCAGCTCCACAGAATGTCGAAATGCCTCGTACTTTTGTGTTTCTGTGTACTCTTCTACCACGTAGAGGTGACGAAAATTTTACATAATTCACAATGTAAAGGTGACTTTCCTTCGCCATGTCTTTTATTTAGAAACAAACATCTTACAATGACGCTATAAATACAGGTCTTCGATACAAACATTCATCTTGTGTATATACCAGAATTGTCCAAATTTGATTTTGGAAGAATTGTTTTAATCCCTATGACATGCAGAGGGGGGAATTAATTTACTCTGACTTTTTAAAAAGCCTCTTGGATCTTTCTGGGTGTTCACCTAGGAGGAGACACGTCGTGAAATCTAATTAGAAAGAGAACGCGAAGCAAAGGGCATCGGAAGACCGGAGCTGGGCTGTACTTGTTTTTTGTAAATACCGGGAGACAGACTGCACCTGAGGAGTTCCTTCTGGTAGCTTTAATTTGCTGCATGAAGACAAGAGATTCTAATTTCCCGTCACCCATCGCTGTCCATCTCTTCTCACCCTTAACCTCTTAAGTATTTTCAGTGGCTGTCAATCAGGCTTGCCACTAAGAGGCACAACATTTAAGATCTCTTGCTTCCCAGCCTGACTACTGACACCAGGTTGCATTTGGGGGATCGATGGCTCGTGTTTTCTTCCCTCCTCATGCAAAGAACATTCAAGTAAAAGTGGGTGGATCTTGCCTGTTCTTTCTTTAGTAACAGTGCCGTTGAACTTTGTCACTGTAATGAAAACACTTAATGTCTCTACCACTGGGATACCACCGTGTAGTTATGCTTCATTGCGTGGTTATGCCTCATTGGATTTTGGCATTTGGAGTAGATGGTTAACAGAGTCACACTTCACAGGAACACATAACTCAAGGTGGTTGTGCACATGTAATTGATGATTCATGTAAGTTCTATTTCTGTAAGCCCATATGATGACCCTGTGGTTGAAATTGCACCCCTGCCATGATTGTGCAGGGCTATATGAATGCCCTCCAGGCACAAAAGCATACATACTTGGTGAGGGATGTCAGACAGTCACTGAACAAGGGGACTCTTCTCTTGGTACTCCTGGGGCTTGAAGCAGACACCAGCCAGTTAATTCATCATCTTGTTTCCAACTGTGCCTGCCCCTCCATTATTCTGAAACTTGCTTCACTGTCTGGAACAACGAATAAATCGTTTTAAATAAAATCAAATTAAGCTGGGGCTCCTTTTAAAAACTCAGTGTACGTGTGCTTTTAAAACACATGGGAAATGTAGTGGATTTTCTAAAAAGAAAGATTTTGTAAGAAAATTATTTGGACTTTTAAAATATTTTTAAAACTATGTTGATTTTCAACCTGTTAAGAGGTTTATATTGCAGTCATCATGGCTTAGGGTGGATTCACTGATTACCAGCTACAGCATTCTATTTGACTCTCGTTTGTTATATGATCCCTTTGCTGAGGTAGACTCAACTCACAGTAGACTTTCCTATTGACTGCTAAGTTATGCCAAATTCCATTAAGGAAGATCTTTGGGTTTTATTTACCAATTTCAGAATGAGTGGTTTTGTTAATTGATCACCAGAATCTTTCTTGTAATTCATCAGCAAGCCTCAGGAGCAATATAGTTGGTGGTAGTCTAGAAGTAATTTTTTTTAAGTATACATACTTGAAAAACCAGATTTCTAAGACTTGCTCCTTTGTTAGGGTATTTGCTATTGACAAGTCATGTCCATGTTTGTTCATTGTTTTTTGTTGCCTCAGAGGATAAGTTAATCAAAACCTTAGGATGTCTTTTATTAAAAGGAAGAACAGTCTGTTCACTGTCTATTTCTAATTATCATAGTTAATTCAGGACTTAAACTTACACTATCTATTCTATCTGGTCATGGCACAAGAATATTCCAATGAAAGTTCTAGAATACTTGGATTGACATCAAGGTATCCCTATATCAGGGATCCTAGAAAACTAATCAGTATTCTTTCTATTCCCTTGAGAGACTGTTCTACAAACACATTTTAGTATCAAAGGATACATTCTGATGCTTAACCTACATTTCCCGTTCCTTAACTTTATCCCTTGAAACTTTTCATATCTCCAGCCAAAATTCCTCTTTACTCTTGGTGTTTAGACCCCCAAGCTATTTGTAGATTTTTATCCTGACCCTTGGGTCTGACTCTGTGGTTTGGCTACACTGTAAAGTTCATATTTTGCTTTAAAACCATCACTGTAGATGATCTTCTCTGGATTCCCTCCATTTGCTTATTTCTTTTCAGTTCTGGGGTCCAATATTACAGGTTAAGGCATCCTATTTTGCCTTTGTTTGTTATATAATCCCCTTGCTTAAATTGTCCCAAATCACATTGAACTTTCCGATTGAGTGCCATATAATATTTTAGATTTATATCTGATTGGCTCCCAACTCTTAGTCAGCATCAGTGGTTTTTGTTTCACCCTATGTCTCTCAAACTAATTGTGATCCCTCTGATATCATTTCTATGTTCTTAGTGAGTAAACAGTTCACGGCATCTCACTCGCCCAGAGAAGTCAAGGGTTCTGCTTCCAAGTTCCTGAAACATAAAAAAAGGGGTAAGATTTTAATCTATACAATGTGGAATAATTCAGCTATTCAGCTATACTAGCTACTTGAACTAATTTTTAAAATCTCCCATAGCACACATTTTTAATGACTTTTATGAATGAAGAAATATGTAAACAATTGTAATAGCTGTTATTCCAAAATGTCCATAATCTAAACATTCTTAAATATTTCCAATTTTAAAAAGCAACCCAACAATATGAGATATTTTTCCTCTGAAATTTTAATTTTTTCCCCAGAATCTTCACTTCTCTATATCAGATGGAAACAGGAAGATCTATTTTACTCAACATGTTTTTCTAGGGACAAGGTGGGGTGGGGTAGAGAAGGGAGAGGGAACAAAACATTTGGTACTGTGCCTGGGGTATATACATATGTAAATATATACACACATATATGTTTTCATCAGCTTTATTGAAGAATCATTTGCATACAATAAACTGTATAGATGAGTTTTGACAGCTGTGTATACATACCCATGAAACCACTACCACAATCAATATACAGAACATTCCCATCACCTCTTGAGTATGCTTTTATTAACATTCAGTGAGCATTGACAACTCAAATTTTGCACTGTGTAGTGTTTGAATTGTGCCTTCAGCCTATAATAGAAAGTGAGGGTGAAAAGAAGGGAGGGAGGGAGGAAGAACAAAATAGAAATCAGAGCTTTTTAATACTTCTTATAGTGGGTTGGTTTGTATTCCTCCAAAAGATATGTCCAAGTTCAGTCCTAACCCTTGGTACCTATGAATGGGACCTTATTTGACAATAGGGCCCTTCCACATGTAATGAGATTAAGACTAGGTCAGACTAGTGTCTAAATCCATTAATTGGTATCTTTATAAGCAAAAAGAGAAGGCAATTTGTATACACACACACACTCAAACACACAGAAGGAAGATGGAGGCAGAAATTGGAGTGATGCAGCTACAAGCCCAGAAAGGCCATGGATTGCCCCAAACCACCAGAATC